TTTCTGCCTTCTCAGGCCCGCGGGGTCAGGCGCGGGCCGGCCACAGGGGGCACTTGCGCTCCCCAAACCCGGATCTGGGAGAGGTGCCCGCGCCTTGCCGGAGAGGCGGCTACGGCTGTGGGTGCGCGGGGAGGGGACCCTGTGTGCTGGAACTTACAGCGGTTGTGTTCCCTACAAGAGGCAAAACATTTTTTACACATTAACAAAAAAAAAAATGTTCCTTCCTGTTGCCTGGATCTCGGCGGGGCTGTTTTTGAAACGTTGCCTTGGGTGGGAGCTCCGGGCCTTGCGGGGTAGAGGCGCGCTGCGGCCTGGGGGTCCCGAGAGTCGGGATCCTGGGTTTGCGGGGCAGCCCGGAGCCGCGCCGCCCCGACGTCCCGAGGTTCGAGTCGGCGCACGAACCTTGGGGATTCAGGCTAACATTCCCTGCCCATGACCGGTCTGCGGAAGGGAGCCCGGGCAGCCGGGCGCGGGGGCTCTTCTTGCGCCCAGGAACCCCGCCGCCCCCACAAACTGTCGCCTGGCTTTCGAGGTCAGCAGCGCGTCCTCCTAGAGCCCCTGTGTGGGCGGAACAGCCCTTAGTCTCGATGTTTAAAAACCGTATTGAGATGTTACGGACTGGATTGAGATGTAGAGCAGGGAAGACGTGGGGAAGAGCGGGAGGTGGGCCTCTGCAGGCCGCGGGGCAGGCCGAGCCGGGATCTCAGCCGCTCCGCCGGGGCCCCAGCGTCCCGGGAGAGCATCACACCAGACGGAGGCAGAAAACTTAAGCGGGGGCGGGGCGGGGCGGGGCTGGGGGAGGGCCACCGAGCCGCCAAACCCTTTTCTGCATCCCAAAGCGCGCTGCTTTAGGCCTCACGATCTATTAACATTTAAAAAACTCCTTCTGCGGCCCACGGCGGGGAGAAGGTGCGCACTACGTTTGCTTAGGCGCACGCAGAAGTGGCCTGCGCACCCCGCAGCTTGGGGCCGCCACTCTGGAGCACTGTTTACCACCAAAGAGTAAGGCTTTAAAGCGCGATTGAAGACCTTTTAGATGAGATGGCGGTGCGGGACCAGGCATTTCACACCCACTAGCTCGCGTAATTGAGGAAGATGTCCGAGGCAAGTTGATACCTAAGAGGCCCGGCCAGGCCGACTACGTGGCTGCGCTGCCAGGTGTCTCCATCTTCTGGAGACCCTGTATCCCCACAGACATCTTCAGGGCTCTCCTCTGCAGTTTTGCCTCAGGTCAGGAGCCGAGACAGATGTTGGTAAAAACCTGACTCCGCCCACCCGCAGGCCCCTGGACTGCTAGTGCGGTCTTTTCTGTTTAACCTTAAACTGTAAGAACCAGAAATACAGATTTTCTGCTTCCATGTTTCACAGATGATCTTTGGAACTGAGTGGCCTTCTGTTCTCACCCGGAAACCTTAGAAGAGTCAGCTGGTTTCTCATATCACTTGTTCAACCTTTCTGTTTACTAGGAACTCGACCTAACTTAGAAATTAACTATGTCCTTTGTTTGGAGAATGTTAAAAAGAAAGCATCTTTAGACCCAAAAACAATGTTCCACTTCAACTTGACACCCTGCATTTTAAAATGGTGAGCCCATTTGCCCCCTACACGTGAATTATCTGAAACTCCAATTTTTAAAGTATTTTCCCAACAACAGAAAACCCAATTTAAAAAATGGGCAAAGACTTGAACAGACATTTCTCAAAGGAAGACATACAAATGACCAATAAGTACACAAAAAGATGTTCAACATTGCTAGTCAGTAGGAAAATGAAAATCAAAACCACAATAAGATACTACTTACTTCATGTCTACTGGGGTGGCTATTATGAAAAAAACAGAAAATAACAAGTGTTGGTAAGGATGTGGAGAAATCACAAAACTTGTGCTTTGCTGGTGGGAATGTAAACTGGTGCAGCCACTGAAAAACAATTTAGTAGTTCCTCAGAAAATTACATAGAACAACCATGTGATCCCATAATTCCAATTCTAGGTATATACACAAAAAAGTGGAAAGCAGGATCTTGAAGAGATATTTCCATGTAGCAGCGTTATTCACAACAGCCAAGAGGTGGTAACAACCCAGATATCCACTGATGGATGAGTGGATAAACAAAACATGGTACGTACATACAATGGAATATTATCCAACCTTAAAAAGGAAGGAAATTCTGACACATGCTACAACATGGATGGTGAACCTTGAGGACCTCACGCTAAGTGAAATAAACCGGTCACAAAGGGACAAATGCTGTATGATCCCACTTCTAACAGGTAACTGAAACAGGCAAATTCATAGACAGAAAGTAGAACAGAGATTACCAGGGTCTGGGGGCAGGGGAGAAAGGGAAGTTACTGTCTAATGGATAGTTTCTATTTGGAGTATCAAGAAAGTTCTGGAAATGGTTGGTGATGAAGATTGTACCACATTGTGAATGGACTTAACGCCACATAACTGTACACTTAAAAATGGATAAAATGGTAAATGGTACGTTACAAATATCTTACCACAGTATAAAAAAAATGTTGCAAACTAGCTTTTATACTATAAACCTCTTAGTTTATTTTTATTACTATACATAAAGGTATTTTTCAATAAGAAAAAAAATTAAGATGAAGAGAAAATATTTTGTTTTAAAATACATTTCAGTTAATTTACAGAAGAAATGCTCTTTATTAATTTTTATCTCTGTGGGTTACCTTTATAGAATATGGTACTGAAATGTTATTTTTCAGTACTGTCCATGATCTCTTCTCATCTAATCCTATTTAATTGGCAAGGTTCAATTTCTGGTGTCCCAACGTGGATTTTGACAGACACACAAAAAAAGTCATAAAAATAAGAGCAGCAACTGATGTTTGTCTGTGACTCACTAGAGTGACTGGCACTGGGCTAAGCCCTTGACCTGCCTCTTCAATCCTCATAGCAGTCACTTAAGAGAGATACTGGTAATACTGCCATTTTACAGTTGAGGGAAACTGAAGTTCACAGACTAAATGAAGGGCACACTGCTGGTGAGTGAGGAGAGAGGGCTGGCCCCCTCTCTACCTGATTCTGACACCCCCACCCGCCACCATTCACAAAGGGCATCTGTTTATATACACGTAACTTCATTATTAGTATGGATTCAGAAAAGGCAAAGTTAGTTACTTTTGAAGCATATTTTTTGTATCTTTTTTGAAAGTCCTTTTCTTTGTTTAATAGTAAGTCTTCAATCTAATCTGTAAAGGAAAAAAAAAGCGGAATTAATGTGTTGTTGGACACTGGTTAAAAAATACAACATGAGTATGGCATGGTAAATTTTAAGGCTCCTGAGGATTCATTTCAGAAACAACAAAAAGCTGTGATAATGAGAAAGTAGGAAATAAAGTATTGATTATTGAGAATAAAGGGTCCACATATTACTTTAATATTGAGGAAGAAGAAATGGTAGAGTTCAGAAAGTTTGCATCTAACATTTTTTTTTTCTTGGAGGAGAATGGTAATCACTTTTTCCTCATGGTCTGAGTTAAATAGGAACATCCAATTACCCCAAATACTTCATTTGTTCAGGTAAGTTTCATCAAGCTTCTAAGAGGGAAGGAGCTTGAAATGTACATGTTGCATGGGGAAGTATGCAGGGCCTCTTCTTTCTCCTGAGGAACTTAAATTATTTGCCCTGCAGCCTCCATTCCCACTTCATGTTGCCAGTGAAAGTTATCTTCATGTCTTCCAGTTTGATTTTGTTTATTTTGGGTTAACTGGCCTCTTAGGGTTAACAGTTTCTTTCAGTGCATAAAGTTCAAACTTCTTATCAAAGAGATTTCTCCCCTTGTTCAAGGACTCTCTCTCCTCCTTTCCGTGCATTCATATGGGAGTGGGGTGTTTTCCAGCCCCAAGGCCCTGGGGGAGGGTTCCTAGCTCTCCAGTGGAGGAGTGTAACCCAGGGGAGCCCTAATCTTGTAGTGGGGGGACAGGAATAATCTCAGCACAGACAAGACGGAGGTATTTTCCTGGAGGTCTAGCCATTACCCTGCCAACCAGCCTGGCACGGCTAGCCCTCTGAGATGCTGCCGTGCTCCCCACAACCCTGTCCTGCCCACAGGGCCACCTTCCCCTGTGGAAGCACAGGAGCTGGTAAATGCCAGGTGCTTTCTGTGTTCCTCACCAAGCCATGGATTCTGTCTAGGCCACAATGTCAGCAGAGCACTCTTACCACCGGCCATTAATCCAGTCACTTTCCTCCGCCACCCCGCCACCCACAGGTTGGAGGGAGGCAGGCAGCAAGAGCTGGTCTGTATTCCTCCTCCACCCATGGGAGTTGTCATCTCTACTCCTGTGCTCCTTCAAAAGAAAATAAAGTTCATCTGTCTAGGAGATCTAATGATTGGCATTTAATGTAATAGATAATTAAAACAGAGAAAACCATCATGATTCCTTGTTGCCTTGGCTCATAGGAAGCTCAGTCAAATGCAGTGCTCAAGGATGCCAGCCAGCCTATTGTCCTGTCCAGGAAGCAACATCGTCCTTCCTCCATGAAAAGTGATCATGATCTTGCTATGAGAGAAGAGAGATTTGTGTTGTTTGAAAAGGCATATTAAATATTACCATATAATTTCATATCTGGAAAACAAAATATAAATTGTTCTGATCATACAATTATGGAAAATAAAGCTCAATAAACTCTTGCTCTGTGATGATATGCAGATGATTGCTTCCTGGGCTTGATAAAACTGGATAAGAAGCTGTTGGAAGGACCTTCTGATTGCTGTTTTTGACTTTTTGATTAACTGTGGAGTTGTATGTATGTTTTTACTATATGCATCTAAAATACTTTCTTGGGAGTTGGTAGAAAATTATTAATAAATATACCACAAATACCCAACTGTATTAACATCCCTGACTTAGAGCAAGAGAGTTTTTTACAAGAGGAATGGTGCAGTCCATGGCAGTTATCACATTTTATAACCATGAAACTGTGTGATGGTTTGATCTGTTCTGTAAGGCCTGGACTGTAGAAGTGTTTGGTCAAGTATTTCTTGGGTGGATGGATGGATGAATGAATTGTTCAGTGAATAAATTTCAAGAGATACAGGTTGTACAAAAGTCATATATGCAAACCTGACAAAAAGAATAAGGTAATTTTTAATTGAACATATTAGTTTTAGGAAGATAGGATTTGGGGTTATCTTTAAAGGTTCTTTAAACTTTATTTTGTTACACTATTTTTATAATTTGAAAAAGTAATGGGGCCAAGGGAAATGATGGCTACAACAAGCAGTTCTGAAAAAATAAAATTTATATAACGCAAGTGGAGCAAAATGTTAAAAACTGGTGAGTTGAGGTGATGGATATATGGGAGTTCTAACAACTTACCTGTAAATTTAAAAATCATTTCAAAATCAGAAAGGTTTTTAAAAAGCACTCAAAGAAATGAAATCCATAGCCCCAGTGTGAAGTGTTGGGTTTGTAAGGCACTCCTGTCCCCTGCCCAGCAGCCCTTCAACAGGAGGCCTGATTCCTTCCCTGCTTCGTGCCTCCTTGGGAGTGGCTCTGATGTCTCCCGAAACTGGGGGCCTGTAAAAGGTGCTTGGGGCAGGCCTGCCGCTGTGAGCTTTCCTGCGGCCAGAATCAGAGACCTCTACCCAAGGGCCTTAGTTCCCCTCTCCCTATCTTTCTCCTGTTTCATTTCCAGGAACCAACAGTTGTAGAAAAGAGATAGTGGCCCTAGATAATAGTGGGTCCTTTTATTGTAACTGTTCTGTGCAATAAAATGGACTGGTTGTGTGCACTTGAGTATTTCAAGGGTCTATGCAGCAAGAGTTGCTGGGAGTTGGCCTTAACTGTATTGTCACTCACCTATCTCTGTGATTCAGGGTTCAGCTCACTTCAGAGCCACAATTATCTGAAGCACTCAGTTGTTGTCCTGAATGGAGGTGGGGATTTTGCCACGCTATTCTGTAGCATAACTGTGCTCATTGTGGCTATAGTGTAATCTCTGTGTGATTCACGATTAATTCTAATCAGTGAGTACATGTCGCCTTTACAGATACCGTGGCCCTTGTCAACTGTGCATTAAAATGCCTATGCTTGTGCCCTATATGGTGGGGGGTACAGATCCATGTGGTGGAAGCTCTCTATTTCAGTATTTAATTGGCATTTGGGTTTAAGCCCATCATTTTTATTTTTTAATTAAACACACACACACGCACACACACACAATGCCTGAATCCTTTAAAAACAGTGACTCCAGGCCCAGGAAAACAAAAAACAGAAATGAGTTAATCTGTAGTGTAACATATGGAGGAAATAAATAAGCATATTGAGTTACTCCTATTCTTCTACAAATGATTAAGGAGGGTCTGCTCTGTGCCCCATCAGGCTGGGCCCTTGGTACAAAGATTAACCTGAGCTGGGTGCTCCCTCTAAGGAGAGAGGATCATAGAGAAATGGCATTGGCCTGAGCATTATCTCATTTAATCCTCACCATATTTCGAGGTAGGGATTAACCGCCCCAACTACCTGTGAGAAAGGTGACCCGCCCGTAGGGTTAGGAGCAGGGCCAACTCCAAGGTCCGTTCCAAGTTCACTGTGCTTCAATTGCCTTGGGATAAAGCAGGTGCAATCCTTACACAGTGGAACACAGAGTGGGAAAGCCTAGAATTCTCTATTAGTAGCCCATGAAGTCAAACTGAAGCCAACAGGAGCCTGAAAAGTCCTTTCCTCTACTGAGGTCACATCTTCATGTGTCCAGTGTCGAGCCTTCCGATTGGAAAGTAAATTTTCCTACAGAAGGGCAGGCCCACGACACCCAGATTTTCAGATGTGTTGGCAATCATGACTAATGCCAGAGTCATACAGGCTACTGATGGGTCTCGGCCCCTCGGTAAGGCCACGGGGGGACCACTGCTGGGAACAGCCAGGGAAGGACAGAGACTGGGAATGCAGCAGCCTCCTGGCATTGCTGCACTCAGGGGAAAGGAGTTCTTTCAACAAAGGAGATTACTTAGCTCCAACCAGAATTGGCTTTAGGGTCTAAAGCTCTTGATGTAACCTGCAGTTCAATCACCTGCAAAATGCCCTAATGATGGAGCCTACTTCTGTGAGCATCTGTCCTCCCAGGGGAGCTCAGTACCAAAAAAAAGTCATTCATGAATGACCCGAAAATCTATGAATAAGGCCATGTTCATCAGGTCAGCTGGCCAGGGGGACCATGCTTGCCAATACCCACCCTTCAAGGTGGTTGCAGAAAAAGCCTCATTTCTCATTAGGTATTTAATTTCAGACAAGGATGCTGAGGATGCAAGGTTGCATCCCTTGCCAGGGTCTCCCAGCAGACAGGTTGGGAGCCCAGGTGGAAACTGCCAGTCTTGGGGCCTCACAGGCACTCCCTGGCTCTGCTCCCTGGGATGAGGACAGGTCAATGCACTGGGAGACCTGGTCTGTGCACCTCCAGAGACTTGTTTGCACATTTGATTTGTGCTAGGAAGAAAGGCAGCAGTGGTCTGCTAGTTTTCCTAGCCTGCTCCAACTTTTAATTTCAAGATTGTTTAAATCTATAGAAAAGTATTTAATAGTACAATGAATACCCATAGGCTCACCACCTATCAGAACCCTTTGTTCACATTTTGTCACAATTGCATTAGCTCACTTTTTTTCTCTCTATTCATAGATACTTTTTTCCTTGAACCATTTGAGAGTAAGTTGCAAACACCCTAAAATACTTCAGCATGTATCTCCTAAAAAGAAAGATCTCCTACTACAAAACCCTAATATCCCATCACACCTATGAAAATTAGTAATACCAGGGTTGTCAATTCTGCACTGGTCAACGTGTGGTCAGCATACGGGGGCCAACCTTCAGACCATTTGTTACACGTCTGCAACGAGCTAAATACCAAAATCGAGAGCAAGCTTCTAGAAACTTTCATAGCAACTTTCAAATTTATCAGGGTAATTTTAGATCTGTTAGGCCTAATAATAAAAATATTGGCTTGCGTTTTGTGTAGCTTTTATGAAATTCAGTATTCTGTTTTATAAAAGCATCAGTCTGAGACACACCAGAAAACAAAACCAAAAACTGGTCCTTCACCACAGCTGGAGAAGCACTAATTCCCAGGCCCTTTTCAAATTCCCCCAATTGTCTCAAAATCTCTTTTGCAGATTTTTTTTTTTTTTATTTGACCCAAGACCCAGTTGAGGTTCACAGACTCCATCTGGTTGTCATGAGGTCTGCAGCCTTTCTGAGCAGACACTGGGCCATCTTCCTGCTTTTCTTTGGAACTTGAGGGTGTGCCCAGCTTAGAACCAGTAACTTCAGTATTTGGGGGATCTGGATCAGGAAGGGTCTGCAGCTCTCTGGGGCCTGTAGAATTACTATTCATAAAACTGTAACCATGCAAGCCCAATGATCTGATACCGTCTTCAAATTTCATATGAATGGTTTCTCAATGAATGGTTTATTGTCTCAGGAAAAAAATTTAACATATCTGTGGCATTTTGGCAGAGTTATACTGGGTAAGGCAGAGAAACCTGTGTTGTGTTAAATATCAGCCAAACAAGGGATTTGTGATGTTCAAATGTTATAGATGATAATCAGGAAAACGAAAACATGTTCATGCAGGGTTCTGCATTTGGCTAAACTCCTTTGCATGTGAATTGAAAGTTGTCAGGTTTGGGTTCAAGGTAGTTCTCAGCCAGTGGACTCAGGGACTCCTCAGCTAGGAAGTAATATACGTTTGTCTAAATTCATTCCCACTGAAGAGAAACATTTAATGTGTTGATAAAAGGCATGACACAAATAACTACCACTTATTGCAAGAGTAAAGCATTTAACATGGGGAGCCAGCACATAGCAGGCGCTTAGAGCAGATGCCCCGGGGCTGCCTCCTACGGGTTGGCCTCAGGGCTGCAATCTGAGCGGTGGTGCAGGACCCTGTGCTTAGAAGGACTCTGCTTGGCTTAATGCTCTGCTTGGTTTAATGATTGAAAATTCTAAATCATTTTTAAACAAGGCACCTGCATTTACATTTTGCACTGGATGCTGCAAATTATGCAGCCAGTTCCACGCACCCTCTGCCACCTAATCTACCTGGCCCACCTCTGACTGCAATGCAGATGAGGGGAGTGATTAGGTGCAAGCTCAGGTTCCCCTGCTCCCCATACCGACAGCACACACCTCACGCACAGATGACACAACTTTCCCCATTCTGCCCTGAGCCTTCTCCAATACCAGGATGGCATTCACCTGCACTTACGTACAGCCCAGACGTTCAAGGGAGATAGAGTGTGTGTTGGGGAGATCTGACAAGCAACCATTAATAAAGGCAGGAGTGAGTTAGTAAATGCTATGGGCTCCTGCTCTTTGTATACACAGTTCTGAAATGTGTTCTGTACACCTCTCAGAGTTCCCAGGATAATTGCACCTCTGAAGCCCATATCCCCTCCCTACACCCCTGGGTCACCGCCAAATGAACTCCCTGTACCCAGTAGCTTGTCTGGGGTTTTGGTTCTGGGGGGACCCACGCAAAGACAGTTTCACTGATGGATGTTCAATAAATATGTGTTGAATGAATAAGGGAGCATTTAGTTCATAGGACCACTGATGGGAATCAATGAGGTAAATCATGGAAGCATCCGTTTCGGGGCCTGGTATCTACCAGAAGCTCAGTAAG